GTTGCTGCGGGGGATAAGAGGACACGAGCACAGGTTGCCAACACCAGTATATCCGGATAGGTAAATTCAATCTAACAAGTTTAGACGCTTGAAGTTCCTTTGTCTTTCATAGTGGTTCGTGGAACCAACGCTCTTTCCAACCAAATTCCGCACTAATGTTACGAAGTCCATCGCAATTAAATTAGCGTGGACAATAAAAATGACCCGAGTGACAAATGAATACCACCGCAAACGGAAATAACATTCGTACATGTGTGCGATACCTTAGACGCCCCAGAGATCAGACTTGAAACCTAAATGGCCCATTAATTTTACAGAAACGTGCGTACAAAGGCACCTGGACTGTGCGCAATGGGTTTGTGGGAAAGAGGGGAATGAAAAGATTTTTGCAATCACCACACACACGCATAAACACATGTGTGGTCAACGGCAAAGGCAACAACAAACGAAGCGGCTCTGTTTCATTAGCGTAACTTCGACCGACGTACTTGATGCCACAACAACACAATTCACCAACACAAAATTCAATAGCAGCATTTAATAGTGATAAAAGTAGGACACCATTTACTGACTAAACCTGTGAATGCAGCAAAGGGCATCAAGGTAACCGCAACGGACAATGCAAACAATGACAACGCCTGAGTCACATAGGAGCGATTGTCTGTGGAATTATAGAATGTTAGGCCGTCCAACGATGTGCTTGTAACTTTCGCCAAATTTTCCAACCAAGAAAGTCCAGTTCTTACACCCACTAGCCATATATCGAAATTGTTTTGACTATTTGCCCCATTTCAGCATCGTATATTTACCTGTTTGATGACTTAGAGGCGAAAGCGACAGAAACTACTTAAACAGAAGTAAAAGCAAACACAATTCTCCCTAATTCAATCAATCTCATTACCAGGACTCAGTTTATCACAAGCCTTGCACCACAGGACTCCCTCCCTTCCCCTACCAAGCGTTTAAAAAAGGCGTCACTTTGCCGCCTCTCCATTGTCTCATCATCACACCCCAAAACACACCCAAATTCATTTCGAGCGCCACAAGACCGTCCACACCCCATGATCACCTACCAAAGCAGAATGCGTGTCAAATTTGCGATCGTAGTAACATGGCAATGAGGTGAACTGGAGGGTTCTCTCGCCCCTGCAGCTATGTTCACAAGTCGATATGACCAAAAAACCTCACTTTACTTAAACTACCCTCTTGCATGCATCTCTCACTTTCGAGGGTGTCAATCACGATCAAAACAGCACAGGAAAAAAAACGACAATCATGTTTCATATGACTCATTCCACAAAAAAGTGCATCAGTAGGTATTA